GTAAATTAAGAACATCGGTGGAGATAAAATCAATAGGTCCTATCATATGAAAGAAAAAAAGTTACTCAACAAAATGTAATAAAATTATAAATGCAAAGAAAGGAATGACAGAGAAAAAAATATATGACAACAAGAAGGATGAAAATCTGCTCTTTAATTACACTGAAATTGATCAACAGCCATAAGATCAGTATCCAGATTCTGATATAAAGTAGTTAAAAGGGGATGAACAGTTTCTACACAAGAATATGTACATGATAAAAATCACCATGTAGAAAAATGGGTTTTTTTAGCCATTGAAGAAAAGCAAACTAAAACAATTGAAATAAATCATTATACCCCAATTAAACACTTCTTTTTCTAATAAAAAATTGATTTTGGCAGGACTCTAGGCCTTTCTCTTGTTTCTCCAATGCCAGAACTAACACAGCAGTGAATCCATTAAATCTGTCTAGGGTACACTTTGAAAATATGTAAAAAGAGCAATCACACAATCCCTACAGTTCTACTCAGTTACTAAATTTGGGGGGAAAATAATTCAAGGAAATAATCTCAAAAGGGTGAAAGAATTCTGCTAACTATAATTTTTTAAAACAGCTTTGTTTGTTTGTCCATTTCTGGCCGCGCTGGGTCTTGGCTGCTGCTCAGGCTTTCCTCTGGCTGCGGCGAGTGGACTCAGGCTGCAGGGTGTAGGCTTCTCAATGCCGCGGCTCCTCGCGTTGCAGCGCTCGGGCTCCAGGGCACCGGCTCAGTCCTTGTGGACGGGCTGAGCTGCTCTTCAGCATGTGGGATCTTCCCGGACCGAGGGTTGAACCCAAGTCTCCTGCATAGGCAGGCGAATTCTTTTACCACTGAGCCACCGGGGAAGCCCTGCTACTTGTAATTGGAAAATCAGCAAGCCAAAGGCCGGACAAGAACTGGGCAGGGCCTAGGAGTTTACCCTGTTTGCAGGCTAACAAGCCACCATGTAACTTTTTCATAGAAGCTGTCACAAGACAGAAGACTCCCAGGCCAAAGGCAGAGGACTTTATTCCTCTGGGCAGAAGCTGCAGCCGGAGCTCCGTGTTTATGGGTACTGGCTCTCCACGTTTCCCAAGTCTGTGGGGTTCTAGAAAGGGCCCCAGGCTGGACCCTGCATAGGCAGGGGGTTGGGTTACAGAGAGGAGCACTCAGCTAGGGCACTCCTCACGTCATAGTAATGGAAGCGAGCTTGGCCCCGGGGAGGGATTCCTTCACCCTGTAAGGTGGCTTGCTGCACATACGACTCTAAGAGATAGCCTGGATAAAACGAATCAGCACCTGGTAACCTTGGCCTGCCCTACATGAATGTGTAGGGGGCTCGGGGTCCTGGATCACGTCTCCCCCAACTGTGCCTCAATTTACTCATTCAACATATCCATTCAAATTTATTATCATCTTCTATGTACCTGGCACCAAAATACAGTTGACCCTTGAACAACAGGACTGTGAACTGCACAGGAACACTTATGCACAGATTTTTTTTTTTTCTGTAAATACCTCTTATAGTACCATTCAACCAAGCAGTTGTTTGAATCAGTGAATGTAGAACTGCAGATAGGAGGACTGATTGCAAAGTTATAGGTAGATTTTCCACAGCGCAGCACCCCTAATCCCCAGCTCCAGGGTCATCTGTAGATGTTCAGGATACAGTGGTGAATATATTTCCTGCCTAAGAAGAGCTTGGGCTTCCCGTGTGGCTCAGATAGTAAAGAATCCGCCTGCAATGCAGGAGCCCAGGGTTCTATCCCTGAGTCAGGAAGACCCCCTGGAGAAGGGAATGGCAACCCACTCCACTATTCTTGCCTGGTGAATTCCATGGGCAGAGGAGCCTGGTGGGCTACAGTCAATGGGGTGGGAAAGAGCTGGACATCACTGAGCAACTAACACATGCTTTCACTTTTCTTTCAAAAAGAGCTTTCATAGTAGGGAGGCAGATATCAAAAAGGAATTAAATAACCTGATTTCCATGAACTGTTGTGAAGACAAATAAAGCAGAAGAGTGGGACAGAGCTGCCTTTCGATAGAGTGATGGATTGTAGATCCGATGATCAGGGATGGTCTGAGATGGTAACACTGGGCCAGAGGCCAGAAGGAAATAAGCAAATGAGCCACATGACTACCTGAGGGAAGAGCATCCCAGGGACCAGCACACCCACACCCCATATCACTGGGAATAGGATGTGCTTGTACCTTCAACAATAAGAGCCAGGGGGCTGGAGTGTGGTGAGCAGGGGAGAGTAGTCAGAGATGAGAGGAGGAAAGCCCAAGAGATAATATAGTTTTGTAATGGGGACAATATAGTTTTTTAACATGACAAGCAGTGTTATCACATGAAACAATTTATATAAAAGAATTCAATAGGGTGGGAGGTGGGCAAGAGGTCCAAGAGGGATGGAACATATGTACACCTATGGTTGATCGTGTTAATGTGTGGCAGAAACCAACACAATATTGTAATTATCCTTCAATTAAATAATTTTTAAGTAAATACAAAAAAGAGTTCAATAAAAACCATCAAATTGAACCCCCAGTCCAGTGTATGGAGGGCTGCTGGGTATCAAGGACAGATGGGTGAGGGGATCAGAAGAGCTGAGTTCTGCTCCCACCATCAGTTAACAGGCAACAAACCTCTCGCTGTTTCTCCATCTGCAAGTGGGTAAGATCAAGTGAAATAAAAGGTGTGAATGTACTGTGTGGTTACAAATATTTGAGAGAGTACCACTGGAAAACCACAATCTTCATCAAAAGGTCACAAGAGGCTGGAATTTAAGCTTTGAAATAGAAATTTAAAATAGTAGCAGCAGTCATCATTTATTGAACTCTTAGTAAACTATTAAACTATAGCTTTATAATAATCTCATGACAGTTATAATTAGCCTCATTTTTTATATGAGAAAACAGTCTCAGAAAGCTTAAGTTGCTCTAGTCTCTGACTTAATACATGGAACAACATAAAAAGACATAACTATGAAGAGTATATATAGCAACATGAAAAATATTAAGAGAAATCTGCAAAATAAAAAATTGATTTTAGGCATGCAACATGTATGTGGATATATGCAAAGAACAGAAAACAAAAGCATGCCCTGCATCTGACTGCGGCTAGATGAATACTTTTACATTTTTGATAATTTTTGCTCTTGTTAGAATGTTTGCCGAATAAAAGAGGGAGAAAATTCTTGTGAAACTATTTCAAAGACTAGTCCCCATTTTTTTTCCCTAAAGGATAGTCTTTGTCATGTCAATTTTCTCAACGCCATCCCAAATCCAGCTTTTTCCACTTTTCCTGCAAACCCTGCTCCTCGGCATTTACACCTGCTTGTCCATCTCCAGGTGGCTTGACCTCAGCTACTCACACTCTGGCCAGGTCCCGTCCTCCACGTATCTCTGTGCAACACTGAAGTGCCTGCCTAACAATTCAGTAAGCCTAAGGGGCTGCTCCCACCACAGCGTCCCCCTCTTTGTCGTCTCTGAACAGTTCATCAATTTCCATTACTTTTATCAACCACTTGACCATTATGCCTGAAAGTCCAAGTATTTTTACTCTGACTCCTTTGCCTGGAGTCAGCAAGAACAGTCCCATGCAGGATGCAGAGCATCCCAGTCTGTGAATGGCTAAGGAAGGGAGAGCAAGGACATTCTCTCTGTCCTTGATCCCCAAAGATTTCTCCAGATGCCAGGGGTGGGATGCTCAGAGGACCAGGGAAGAACCCCCATCACCCACTGCAGCTTAGGGCATTTTTTCCACAGAAAGCCCCTTCTGCGGACCCTGCTCAGCCTGAGACTCGGTGTTAATAAGAAACCAAGCTGCCCTGGCAAGAGATGGGGCAGTTTGGGCTCTGTGTCCTTTACATTTCTACTCTACTCCCAGAAACAGGCTGGAAGGCAGCTGTAAGTTGATTGCATTATGATTGAACTATTTTTTAAAATGTAAGAGACTGAAAACGGGGGAGGCAGGGCGGGTTAGGGGAATTTCACTTCCCATTGGTTTCCACCTTTGTCCAGGGGTCAACAAAATAGAACTCCATCTTCTCCCTGGATGTGAAGAACTGGAAGACGTGCCCCAGGATCAGGAACTTTGGCAACTGCAAAGGGAGCGCGGGGTGGAAGCCAGTAAGGTTGGGTTGGAGACTGGGAGGAGGTGGTGGACACGCCCTTCTCAGGGCCTCGGCCAAAACGCGTAGAAGCTCTCTCAGAGCCAGAGAGAGAACTTCTCAAGGCAGCACGAATCCTCAGAGGGGCAGAAGGGTAGTAAGGGAAGCCGCAGGCAGGATGGAGCCGGGTCGAGGAGCTTCCTGTTGAGCATCCCTAACACCTGAGTCCCCTAGTTCACACATACTTAGGGTGGAGATCGAGGAAAGCAGAACCTCTCGGTCCCGGACAGGGCCGGTCCCTCTGTTTCCAGATGTCAAACCGTACCTCAGGCGAGTCCCGGGGATCCTGCTACGGAATTCCTAGGCGATTATGAACCTTCTTCGGGGACTCCCGCGTTAGGGTTCTCTCCGCGCAGAGGGGAGAGGGAGACCCACGGGACAGCCTGAAGGCCCTGCGCAGTCGGCTGGTTCCCTAGACCACGCCGCCCTCGCCCACCCCGGGTGCAGCTCTGCTCAGCGCCGCCGGGCTCGGAGTCGCGGGCCGCTCTCCAAACCCACTCTGCCCGCGGACACCCGCCACGCCCTCGGACTCCCAGCCCTGTGACAGCCCGCTGCCCTGGGAACCGCGAGGAAAGGCAGGAGGGACTGGCGCGGGGACCACTCTTTTCTCCACTGGAAAAGAGACCCACGAGGACTCAACGGCGAGGCGCCAGAGGGGCGGGGAGCTGCGGCCCCATGAGGGACCAGAGTAGGGCAAACTGGACTCCTCTCTGCCCTCCCCATCACGCAAGGCCCCCTTCCACGCCCTTACTCGCCGCGTCCACGCCAAGCCCAGGGCGCGCTTGCGTCCCCGCGGGGGAGCCGGGATCCCGCGCGCCGCGCGCTATGGAAGCAGCTAACCTCTCGGTGGCCTCCACCGGTGTCGCCCTTCGCCTGGGACCCGCAGCCTTCAGCAGCAGCCCACACCCAAGCGGGGTCGTCGGATCGACCCCAGGCGGTGCGGCCCCGCCGGGCCGAGAACCGCCCTTCTCCGTCTTCTCGATGCTGGTGGTGACGCTGCTGGTGCTGCTGATCGCGGCCACGTTCCTGTGGAACCTGCTGGTTCTGGTCACCGTCCTGCGCGTCCGCGCCTTTCACCGTGTGCCGCATAACTTGGTGGCCTCGACGGCCGTGTCGGACATGCTAGTGGCCGCGCTGGTAATGCCCCTGAGCCTGGTGAGCGAGCTGTCGGCTGGGCGACGGTGGCTGCTGGGCAGGCGTCTGTGCCACGTGTGGGTCTCCTTCGACGTGATGTGCTGCACCGCCAGCATTTGGAACGTGGCGGCCATCGCCCTGGACCGCTACTGGACTATCACGCGCCACCTGCAGTACACGCTGCGCGCCCGCCGCCGCGCCTCGGTGCTCATGATCGCGCTCACCTGGGCGCTCTCGGCTCTCATCGCCCTCGCACCGCTGCTCTTCGGCTGGGGCGAGGCGTACGACGCTCGACTGCAGCGCTGCCAGGTGAGCCAGGAACCCTCCTACGCCGTCTTCTCCACCTGCGGCGCCTTCTACCTGCCGCTCGGCGTGGTGCTGTTTGTCTACTGGAAGATATATAAGGCGGCCAAGTTTCGCTTCGGTCGCCGCTGCAGGGCTGTGCTGCCCCTGCCCTCCACCGCGCAGGTGAGGCGCGGGTTGGGGAATGGGGGTTTGGGAAAGGGGTCGCCGAGGGACGAGGAAGCCTGGCGAAAGGGAGAGCTGGAGGTGCAAGTCTGCACACTTGGCGCAAGCTTTTCAGCTTGGCCAGCCGGAGCGCACGCGGAGTTTGCCATCTGTTCTGCTGCAGCGCTCGCGGAGGACCTCAGCATCCGCACCTAGCGCGCAAGCGAGGGGTTCATGCGTGGATGGTGCGCCGTGGGGAAAGGAGTTCCAGCACCTGCCCACTCGGACTGGAGCTGGCGCAGCCACCACGCGGCTGGGAGGGGCGGCGGGGGCAGTGTTGCTCGGTGGCGTTGAGCTCGCGGCGGATCCACGGCGCCCTCCGTTGCTTTCCCCCTGGAGCTATTGTGTCCGTGGGAGACCTCAGCCGCCAGTTTCCTCGCCCCGGCTAGACCAAGCGTGACGGCAGGGCCTGGAAATTCGTTCTGAGGTTGAACACATTTCTGTGACCATTCGCCCGGTATTTTTGTCTCCACTGCACCCTCATTCACCCCTGCAGTCCCGAGACTATTCACTCCATTGGCCAGCTTCCTGCCAAGGGGAAAGTGAGGATAAAAATGAATCCAAGTATCACTTTTCTTTCACTGTCTCAACCTCAGTGCTATCCTTTAGTGACTTCGGAAAGAATTAGAAAGCTCAGGACCTTGGGGCAGTTACTTAATCTCTGTTGTTTCCTGCTCTTTAGACTGGTTAATTCCTACGTAATAGGGCTTTTGGCTTACGTGAGATAAAGAATGCAGACACCTGGCACAGTGCCTGGCAAACGGCGGTGGAGGGGTCGCAGAGCTGCCTGCAGCGAGGGGATCCTCAGGACCAGGGCGTTGCCCGGCAATCTACAGTGGGCGCCGGAAACGAAGGAATGTGAGGGAGGAATCTGCATTTGGCAGAACTTCTCTCCACTGTCTTTAGAATGGGGGCTTTCTGCTTTTTTGGCTTATTGTTTAGTCTGTAATTCCTGTCAGACTTTTGAGACTCCATGGACAGTAACCCGCCAGGCCCCTCTGTCCATGGGATTCTCCAGGCAAGAATACTGGAGTGGACTGCCTTTTCCTTCTCCAGGGGGTCGTCCCCACCCAGGGATCGAACTTGTGCCTCCTGCTTGGCCTGAGCCACCTGGGAAGCCTCTCTGCCTTTTGGTCAGACCCTAAGAGACCTAACTCCCTCCTCACTCTGGAGCTCACTTTGTGGGCTTCAGGCCTTCAGTCCTGGAGAATAATAGGAATTATTGCCTCTTTCGTAATACAATGTATGGACCAGGGGAAGGGGACACGAGGTGGGAAAGAAAGGGGGTCAGTTTTTTTGTTGTTAACTTTGTTTTAATTCTGTAAGTTAACTCAGATGCTTAGGTTATTCAAATGTGTGTATTTTTAAAAGCAGGCATCTCCCGCCCCCCCACACCCTTCATGAAATGGCAGAGGAGTTTTGTAGGATAAAACGGGAATGTCAAGTCTATAATTGGAAAGTGTTGTTAAGAGAGAGCTTTATTCAGAATTAATGATGTCCTTTGAAAGGTCCCTTGGAAATGCCTGGGGTGATTATCCTTTTTCTATCTGATTGCCAAGGCAAGGCAGACTTTTACTAGCTATATCGATCCAGGGTGCACCCAGAGAAATCATGGTGAAATGGATCCCAGAAAGGCTTGCCACGCCTGAGTTTAGTGTTCATTTTTGATAGACCCTATTCAAGCAGCTGATAACAAAGCAGATGTGCCTCGATGATGGGGAGCAGGACAATCAGGATGGTCACTGGTAGGGAGAAAGTTCTCTGGGAGGCAGGGCAGCCTGGTGATTTAGCCACCTGCCAGCAATGAGCTTCTTTCCCATTTTGGGCTGCAAGCTTTCTCCTCTAAGACACAGCATTGGTCTAAGTCATGGCTAAGAGTCTTGAATCGTATGATGCTGAGGTTGTAGATGAGATGGGTTCAAGAACATCCTGCTTCTTCAGGCTCCAGCAAGCCATCACTCAAACTCTTGGGTAATGTTGCCGAGTCAGCAGTTGCAAGCTTGTTGACCACACCCAAACAGAAGTTTTAACTAATGTGCCAGAAATACTCTCTCTGTGCCTTCCCCCACCTGCTTTATAAAAAAAATTTAATTGGAGGGTAGTTGCTTTATGATGTTGTGTTGGTTTCTGCTGTATAAGAACGTGAACCAGCCACGAGCATATATATAACCCCCTCTCTCCTGAGGCTCCTTTCCACCCCTCTCCTTCCGTCCCACCCTTCTAGGTCATTGCAGGGGCTGGTCTGGGCTCCCTGTGTCACACAGCAGCTTCTCACTAGCTATCTGTTTCACACGTGTTAGTGCATATATGTCAATGCTACTCTGTTTATCCTCCCCTCTCCTTCCACCCCTGTGTCCACAAGACCATCCTCTACATCTGCATTGCTAGTCTTGCCCTGCAAATAGGTTCATCAGGACCATTTTCTAGATTCCATGTATGTGCATTAACATGTGATACTTGTTTTTCTTTTCCAGACTTATTTCTGTATAACCTGCTTTTCTCTGCATTCCAGGGAAAATGAGTAGAGTTGAGTTTAGGTCCTGCAGAATGTCTTTATTGCTTTCTGTGGGTGATGGGAGCACTTAGGAAGGCAGAAGGCCTCTGGCCATGAGGCTGTGCTCACCCTTCACTGTTTTCAGGGTTCTGTGACTAAGTCCCAACACTAAAATAGAATCAGGCAGGAATCTGCAATCATGCCTCAAGTTTTGAAAGTAGACGTGGAAAGAAATGCTGACTGAGTGAGTTCCCTCTTCCAGGCACAGTACACTTTACCTTCTTCCTCTTATTTAGTCCTTAGGCTCCAGACACATTGGCATACAGCGTCTGTTTGTCAGGATAAGCTAAGATACGCTGAGTAACACAGAACCCCCAGACTAACGGTTTAACCCAGTTTCACGCAAAGTTCAGTGTGGGTCTGGTGGCCCCCCTCCCCTGCTCAGCTCTCCTCCAGGCAGTGACTTGTGGATCCAGGCCCCTTGTCATCTTTAAGTTATGCTGTCTTGAACTTGTGGTTTCTGAGGTTGCTGTGGAAGAGGAAGTGAGACCTGGAGATACAGCAGCTTCTACCTGCCTTACCCAGAAGAGCCCCTTCTGGGCACAGTCCATTGGCCAGACACTGTCCGTGAAGACTAGGGGAACCTATGGCTCTTTGGTGAGCATTAACCATCTTTGCCACACAGCTATCATTTTTGTTGTTGTTCAGTCTTTAAGTTGTGTCCATTGAGTTGGGGATGCCATCCAACCATGACAGAGGATGGTCTGTCACCCCCTTCTCCTCCTGCCCTCAATCTTTCCCAGCATCAGGATCTTTTCCAGTGAGTTGGCTCTTCACATCAGAGTTGAATTTAGGTCCTGCAGCTTCAGCTTTAGCACCAGTCCTTCCAGTGAATATTCAGGGTTGATTTCCTTTAGGATTGACTGGTTTGATCTCCTTGTAGTCCAAGTGACTCTCAAGGGTCTTCTCTAGCACCACAGTTCAAAAGCATCCATTCTTCAGATGATCCAGTTCAGTTCCCATAAAGTGAGTTCATCCATGACACCTCCCAGTTACTGGGTGGAGAAGCTAAAGTCTGTCCTGGATCTATTAATAAAATCACTGTTCTTTTCATCCCTTTTTCATTATGCTGTGCTCTCTGCATAAATTTAATTTCTGAGCACTGTCACAAGCATCTAGAACTTCATGGGAGTGAGACAGTCATATCCCAGTCAAGGTGGGTCATGGGGATGTCAACTAAAAACAACAACAAAAAAAACAACCTAAAAGTTGAGAATGTTGGCAGACTTTCTGAGAACTTCATCCGGAAGACAGGTTCTCAGATAGCTCTGAGGTACTCCTTGTGTCATCTTGTTGCAAGCCCATGGGCTGTGGCCCACCAGGCTGCTCTGTTCATAGGGTTCTCCCGGCAAGAATAGTGGAGTGGGTCGCCATTTCCTTCTCCAGGTATCTTCCTGACACAAGGATCCAACCTGTGTCTCCTGTGTCTTCTGCATTGGCAGGTGGGTGGCAGCCCATCCATAGGGAGTAGGATCTCAAAACTGTGAACTCCTTTGTGGGAGAGTTGAAAAACAAGTGAATACAGAGGCACCACCAGCTTCTCTCAGGAGTGGGAGTTAATTCCCATCTGTATCCTTTTTTTCCCACCTCATAGATGGGACATCATGATATAGTATATTCTGCTGTCCCCAATGCATCCCCCATGGGGTATAATTGTTTCCTACTATGCTATACTCTTTACTGCTTAGAAGAGGAAAAAAGCAAAGTCAATAGAGATTGTTTGGTTGGTTTTTAAAATGCAACATCAAACATTTTGTTCATTTTAATTGTTTGTCTGATAACTGTGCCTGATACCAGGGCATGCTTATTTATTAGGCATAGTGGGTACACCACCGAGAGCTGCAATACTTTTCGGGGCCCATGGAAATTGTTTAATTTCTTTTAGAGGGAAAGTGACTATAATAGTAATGAATAGGTAATAATGAGTTCAGCCTTGATTATATTAGTCTTTATAATAATATGATCATAAAATATAATTTTTAATATTTTTTAATGGAAGAAGGGCCCACAGAGGCATGGATGCCTTAGGCTCAAGAAGGTTATAATGCAGCCTTGGCTGATACCTTCTTTCATTCACTAAATCAATAAACATGTGCTGGGAGACAGTGTGCACATTAGTTAAGAACTTGGGATTTGGAAACAAGGAGACCTGGATTTCAATTCTTTTTGTGCCACTCATTAACTCTCTAGCCAAGTGAGTTCAGCTCCATCTGCCTTTCCCTGTAGGTAAAATAGAAATATTGCTATCTGCCTCTTAACATTCTTGTGAAGAGTAGATGAGATAACAGTGTATATGGAGTAACTAAAATAGTAAACCCTAAATGATGGCCACTGTACTACTTTTGTTACTATTTTTTGCAACTTTTCTTATAAGTTATAAATAATAAGTTATTATTTTATACCTCTT